CCCATACAAAGTTATCATAAGAAAAAGAGCATAAGGAGAAAATATAATCCCCTAGAGACAACAAAAGCACACCAGAAAGACATACCTAGGGAACCAATGAAAAATATAATACCTCAAAATGAGTTAAAATACATCAGGAAAATGACACAAAATATGAATGATATCAATAGAAATTAGAAAAATTTAGAAATTGATTATTGAAACTCAGGAAAAAATTAATTTCAGAAAAGACTAAACTAGAAAGATCATTCACAGTAAATAAACAGGATGTCTTAAGAGGAAGAGAAGAGAAAACAGGTAAAACATTTAAAGATCAATAATAAAGAAAAGAAGCCAAGCAAAAGTGACCCAAAACAACATACATAATAGCAATCCCCAAAAAAGAAAGCCTAAACAAGGGAACAGAACAATTATTAAAACTTTCATTTTCCTGAAATTGAGAATAAAAAAAGACTTGATGCTACATATTGAAAGAACACACCAGGTACTTGGGAATACTGATCCAGAACAACCAACACCAAAACATACTGCAGTAACATCACTGGCGAAAAATCGGAGGAAAAAAATCCCGTGGGCTCCAGGCCAAAAAGAATAAGGCATTCATGAGGGAAAGAAAATCATGTTATCAGCAGACATTGACAGTGATGTTTTAAGCCAAAAAGAACATACTTAAGATACTAAAAAAAAAAAAAAAAATGTGACCCAACCATTTTATCCAAACAGACTTTCATACAAAAGGCTACAGATAAACTGTTATCAGCGTACAAAAACTCAGGGTATACTAGTCTCACAAGCCCTTCCAGAAGAATCTACTAACAACTGAGCAAGACAAGCAGAATGACTGGATAGATGACGTAAGGGCTGGTGGTGAGCATTAAGCATGTATTTACTTGAATAGTTAAGACTAAAGCAAGAGTTAAAAGGGAGAGATTATAGTATATAATGATGACGTTCTTACAAAGCAGATGCAGCGCAACTACAAAAAGCAGAGGCACGGAACTGTACACTTAAGTATGGCTGAAATGATAAATTTTATGTTACGTATATTTTACCACAATAAAAAAGGAAGAAATAAAGTACCCTGTAAGTTTACACCAATACTTCTGATTCGAATTTAGAACTACAAGGGTTTTCTATCTTCTGTCTTGAAGCTATAGCTCTACTTTTCCGTATCAAGAACCCTACTTCTCATCAAGGAAAATGATGATGATAAAAGAATGTTAATTTCCACAAGTTCAGGATACTTAAAGAAAATTAATCAGTCACCTTTGGAGAATGCTTTGGAACCAAGTCTACTTTGAAAACTGGTAAATAAAATGTAGAAATTCTCCTACCTTTCCTCTATTAACTGTACTAAAAGGTATTGTAGGTAAGGTGAAGTTTCTCTTCATAGAAATATTTTAGCTAATAAACAAAGAAATGATAAGTTAAAATATCACCACATACAACCTCAATAAATCACAGGATCTAAGAACTGAGCAGCAAGATTGCTATCACAAACCATCACAAAAAGAGAGACACCATGTGCTTCCTGATGAAAGAACACACCACCACCGATGAAACAGGTGCCTACACAAACCAACTCGAATCTGACGGAGCCTCAGATCTAACGCCCAATTCTCAGGAAGTAGAGGTCAATAAAACACATTAAACTACACTATGTGGATACAATCAGCAAAATCCAAACAACAGGACAAGGGATCCAATTTTATCAACAAATATTCCTCAAGGAAAAAAATAAAGAGAGATGAGGGAAAGAACTTATAGATTGAGAGAAACTAAAACAGACATATAAAACGAAAAATGAAACAGAACAAAATTATTAAAGATGAATACTGGGTCGGGATAGAGACTTAGGGAGGTTGTAATTAGGAGGAAGCCTTGAACGGCTTCTGGACAGCTGGCAAGGTTCTATCTCCTGGCCCGGGTGATGGCTGCAAGCATGTTCGCCTTAAGATAATCCACTAGCCTATACATTTGTTTATGAGATTTTCCATTTGTATTTTAATCATAAAAATTACATGAAACCTTTATATACACATATAATTATACGTATTTTTCATGATTTTTATATTTGTTATATTTAATCATAGCTCCCCAAATTTTTATGAAATATATTCCCAAACCTGAATACCATGCTGATCTCTTCAGTATGATAATTAAGGTCTCCACAGATTCCATGCTTAAGCACTACTGCACCTTGCACTTTTCTGAATTGTTAAAAAAAAAAAAGGAAAAAAGGGAAAAAATTACTTACCATATATACCAACTCCAAAGACTGAGAAAAACAATTGCATCACTGTCAGACACAGGGTTAATATCCACAATATATGGAAAGTCCTGGTGAATCAATACATAAAAAGATCAATACCCTAAATTAGAAAATGAATAAAGAACATGATCAGGTAACTCACAGAAAAAAAATACAAATTACCAATAAAGATAGTAAATGATAATCAACCCTTCAATAAGTAAAATAATTTGACCATGCTCCTCACTATTACCTTGGCAAAGACCAGGATTGATGACACCCTCTACGGTATTAGCTAAGGTGTGGGGAAACCAGCATTCACGTTATTTGAAGTGGAACTTAACATGAATCTTAGAAAATTCGGCTTTATCTTTTACATTTTCAAGGCACAGTCTTTGGGCAAACTTACTTCTATTAATTCCTCCTATGGAAATCAAATATAAAAATATGTACAAAAATATACGTTACAATATGTTTGTAATAATGAACATGAGAAGAACCCAAATGTCCATTAATGGGAGAAATTATACAATGAAGCCAAAAATGATTAAAGAGAATGATGTGTGCTTATTCTGAAAGTTCTCTACAATGTAAGGGCAAAAAGTAAATTGCACACCAGTATATAATGATGCTAGTGGGAATCACAGTTATACCACTGCTCCATCAGGAGTAATTGCCTACATAATTCTAATATTGGGCTGAGGAAGTGTGGATATCAATCTAACTTTACCATCCATGCCTCTTTGAAGAGTAAGTAGCCTGCAAGGTGACAAGCCTTAACATCACTTCCTTACTTGGTGCTATTAAAAAACATACGACATTCATGCAGAACTTACAAGAGTCAGGGCTATCATTCCGGGACCCAGTGGACTGCAATGAATTAGAAATTACCTCAGGTTGTCAGTCATCTTGATCTGGATGAAAGTGAAATGGAACAATGTTATCTGACAATATAAATATCTCCATTTAAGATGGAGAGGCCATTGAGTTGGAATTAAACTTCATAAATACCTCACATAGACTTGTGACTAGTGGTTTCCACGTTCCTGGGGCAAGAGTAGCCATGCATGGCAGTCATGGACTCCTGTCATCCTCAGGCTGGATGTCATCACTCATTGGTCCTATATTGCCACTGAACCACACACCAGCCCCTCTCACTTTCCTTCAGGTGGTGGCCAAATTCAAGGCTTTGTCATACTTTAAAAAAGTATTGTACCCATCTGTTTGCAAACGAGGGGAAGAACTGAGTAACGTAAGGCATCAGAGGCCACAAGGCAATCTTGCTTCAGCAGGCCAGGGACTTCTTGGCCAACTGACATCTGATGATGCTTCTTTCTCCTAAGAATATATAGAACTAGTCAACTTTTTCACCTCCAAAAGATAGTTTATGTAAGTTATACCAAGGTATCAGAATAAAGCAGGGATATCCTTTTATCATTGTATTTTGCACGACCATGAGAATTTTTTGCATGCCTGCTATCGTGGTTTTTGTCTCTGTTAAGGAAAAGAAGCCCCCCCTCCTAGTCCCCAAATAAGAAAGGAAAAATTATGGTTGAATGCCATTACTGTTTTCAATCACTTCAGGATTAAAAGCTCAAACACTTACCAGATAACGTGAGGCTGGGCAACCCCTCCAATCCAAGCCTGTTCTTCATTAAATGAAGATATAGTAACTGCAGTTTTGGGAGGTCAAAACAAGATATAAAATACTTTACTAGGCACAGAGCATGCATTCAGTAAGTTTCCTTCCTTTCTCCCTTCTGTCACAGCATTGTTCCAGACCAGGTTATTCTAAGGAACACTCAGCAATTAAACACATGAAGAAATCGATTTATTATTGCACAGTAAATTTTATTATATCAAAACTCACTGCCTGATTCTTGGATCTGAAGGCTTTTAACAAAAGTGGCATAAGCCTGTGGACATACTGCTCCTTCCACACAGAATAATGTCCCTGGAGTCACACCATTCCTGCTTGCAGAGAACTGTAAACAGTGGCCTTCTACAGGAAGAAGGAGTTCTAGATAACACCCTCCCCTCTGGATGGGACCACTTGTCCTCTCCTCTGGAGACACGACCGTGTATTGAAGTTGAGGTCACACACAGGTAGAGCTGACGGGCACTCTGCTCTGAAACAAACGCTGACAGAAGTTTGGGTGAGGCCCTTTCCCCCTTGCTTGAGAATACAGATGAGGCTTACAAAGCCAAGAATACCTTAGAAACAACCATTACCTCATTTCTAAAATCTCTGCTGGAGGAAAACAGTAAATCTTCACCTAAAAGGAAATTCCAGGACATGGTGTAAGTTTCAAGTATCCATTTTGTGGGAAGAAACTATAAATTAATACTTTCTATACTTAATTACCACCAGTAGTTATCATTTTTGGAGGTCAAGGAGGTTATTTTAATGGAGAGAAAAATCTGTCTTTTTTCATGAGTTAAAACAGGAATTGGCAAACCAACGCCCATGGCCAGCTGCCTATTTTTGTAAATGAAGTTTTACTGGAATACAGCCTCACCCATTTATTTGTATTGTCCATGGCAACTTTCATTCAGCAGAGTTGAGTAGCTGCAACACCGTATATGGCTCACAAAGCCTAAAATATTTTCTATCTGGCCCAACAAGAAAAAGTTTGCCAGCCCCTGCATAGAAATATTGCCATACTAAGCTAAGGCTAAGTAAAACTTCATCAGAAAGAAAACTAAAACCACAATAATTAGAATACAAAAATACAAATGACATGCTTGCTCTGATTCAGGCACTTTCAAGATCATAGTTTATTTATTACTTCAGATAAAAAGATAGTATACATATTAGGGAATCCCTTAAAATTCAGCTCTAGAGTTATACACCATCTAGTACTTTTGAAGTGAATGTTAACCAGAAAAGTCTCTAAACACCTGAAAGCCCCACTAGTAACATGAACTATGGTAATAAAAAATTTGACATTTAATTTGTTCAATATATAGTATTTACATTATGAAACCAATGGTGATACGATAAACAATGATAAAGAAATAGTAAAAATAAACTCTAAAAAGCAAAGGTTTATATTCTTACAATGTGCTAATTATCATAATTGTATATAAAAATTAAAACACAGCAGAGCTTTCTGCTACAAAACTCTTAATCATCTGAGTTGTAGTCGTTACTTGCTAACGATTTACATGCAACATCTGCTAGTGCTGACATTTGATTTTCTTCCCCCAAGAAAGTGTGAGTAGATATTTATTTAAGAGCAGACATTAATTTACTTGTGGACAGAAAAAGATAAAACTGTACTCAAGATTAGTACTGGTCACAAGCCTCTTCTCTACAGAAATGATAAAAATAATAAGACTGAAAAAAATTCCAGAGAGGAGATGCATAGGCAAAGAGTACCATGAATGGCACAGCTCAAAAAATCTTGGGACCAATTAGACACACGTTTTCTCTCTCCTTCAATGATGAGAGGTCTATTTTGCCATCAAATTACAATGCCTGCAGCAAGTAAGGGGCACCAGGTGTACAACTAATTAAACCCTGCAAAATACTAAGATGGGCAGTGGTGGCCAGAAGAAGGAACAACTTCTATATAATTCAAACTATATACAGCATAACTGGAATGCAGCTCATCCCAAACTGGCTGTGTGAAACAATTGGACCTTTATGACTTAATAGTTAAAATTATGACAAGTGTAATAATACAATAGATTTACATGGAAAGCAAGATCCAAGGGGCACTTTATATTATTTACTGTGTATTTCAATTTAAAAATAATTTTGCTAAGTATACATCTCAACTGAGGTCTATGTATAAAATGTCCTAATAGATACAGATATTTACCTTTGGTGAGTTAAAGGCCTTTTTGTGACTTCTGTCTGAATTGCAGGCAGAATGCGAGATGTACGTGCACATGTGGGAGAAACTCAACCTGAGGTAATCCAAAAGATGTGCGTGTGAGGAACCTGGAGGTACTCTGACAGTCAAAGCACACCAGAACCCAAACGGGCAACAGTGAGGATGGCAACGAGCAATGGAATGCCAGTATGGCGGTGAAACTTTTTCCACAACAGAAAGAGGAAGGCCTCTCGTACCAGCAGAATCCTGCATACATACACAAAAGAAAAAGCCACCCACCATTTCATAAAACAAAAGCCAATTATAGTGTGGGAAGTACAAACTGCAGAAAACCAGGAGTCCCTGGAAGAAAAACGACTGGTTCCCGCGAGAGAAAGGAGGACGCTCGGTTCTGCGCAGCGTCACTTGGTGAAGGCGGCCACCACTGCCCACAGCACCTCGTTGGTGCTGGCCTTCAGACACTCCACCTCAGGGTCTAAGTCCAGGAGCTGCCGCACCCGCTTGGTGGCTAAATCGTACTGCTCGTCCAGGAGGGGCGCGAACGCGTTCTCCAGGACATCCGAGGCGTGGGCCAGGTAGATGAGGGCCAGCAGGCGCTTGTCCATGCGGTGAGGGTCGTTCACCCACTTGTCGAGAACGGCTTCCTGCACCTTCTTGATGAGGCGCTGCTTAATGCTGTTGTTGGTGAGGGGATGTGTCGTCATGTCAAAAAGAAGGAAGTTCTGTTTCTCGGTTGTCAATACGCCCTTTTCTACCAGGTTTTTAGCTAATCGTTCCCTCACGTTTCTTAATTGATAATGCAGTTTTAACGGATTCCACGTCTCACCTAAAAGAAAGATTCCCAAAGTTAGAAATGATAGGTATTATCTGCTAATCTTATTAAATTTTGTACTGTTAAAATGAACAGTAACATTTGACTTTTTTTCCTCCAGAGAAACAGAAGAAAATCCAACTATGTTTTCTTGCCAACTAAACCATGAACCCCCTGATGGCCAGGCCTTTGGTTTCTAAGCACCTGGCACATGATTTTCAGGCACAACGGTTACTCAAGCTGAAAGCAGTCTCCAAACCAGTTCCCCTAATGCGGAGTAAGCCAAATATCAATATTAAATTATGTTTGGCTTCTCTCTAGCTACTGTCAAAAAGCAGCCACTAGTAAAATGTAAGATTTCTTTTCTGTTAAACACCCATCTGCAACAAAAAGAGAAAAGAATTAAAAAGTTTCCTGATTAATAAGTTATTCCTGAACTGCTACATATACCTGACTTATAAAGCTGGGAAAGCCTGTTTAGGCAAGGCTATTCTTTGCTGACAAATAATATAAACCTAATTATAGAAGGACAAAACATTTTCATCATTTTAATCTTGTCATCTATGCGTATTTCCCTTTGAGCCAGAAATACTTAAAATAAAACCAAGGGACTTCCCTGGTGGTCCAGTGGTTTAAGACTTCGCCTTCCAATGCAGGAGGTACGGGCTGGATCCCTGTTCGGGGAGCTAAGATCCCACATGCCTCGCAGCCAAAAAACAACAACAACAACAAAAAAAAAACACAAAAAAAACCCCCAGAAGCAATACTGTAAAAAAATCAATAAAAACTTTAAAAATGGTCACATCAAAAAAATATTAAAAAAAAAAACCCAAATATTTTTCACTAAAACAGTTATTTTCTTTATAGAAGACTAGAAGGAAATACATCAAAATATTAATCTTGATTATTTGCGGGATTATATTATATGTGACAAATTTTCTTTTTTGTACTTTTTGTATTTTCCAAATAATCTCCAATGAACATGTAACTATTTGGGTAATTTGAAAAAAATACTATAGTAACTTTCTAAATTGGGACATGTTAGAGATCAACCACCGGCACTTTTATTATATGCAAAAGCTGAAATTTTATAATATTGAGGAAAAACAAATTGTACTGTCTACTACAGCAGCCATTAACTATATAGGGCTATTAAATTTAAATTAATAAAAAAACTCAGGGAATTCCCTGGCAGTCCAGTGGTTAGGACTCCATGCTTCCACTGCAGGGGGCCCAGGTTCGATCCCTGGTCAGGGAGCTAAGATCCTACAAGCCCTGCGGCACAGCCAAATAAATAAATAAGCAGGAAAAACAACTCAGTTCCTCAGTTGCCCTAACCACGTTTCAAGTGCTCAATAGCCAAGTGGGGCTAGAGGTTACTGAGCGGACATCACAGAAATAAAACATTTTCACTGTTGCAGAAAGCTCTAGTGGAAAGTGCTGACTTAAAATACATTAGTATTCGAAATTATTTTGCCATATGACTTAACACTGAAGAATATGGGGCTATGATTGAGTAATTAGTCTTGGACTTGCCTTCTGGAGTTAAACAATTAGAAATCTGCATAAAATGTATGAAACAACTGTTCAGATGCTAGTCAAAAGGCAGCCCAGAGCTGTGACCTTTGAGAGAAACCTCACTGAGCCCTACTACTGCCCAAGCTTACTACCCAAAGGCACATGCCAGGCAGCAGAGCAGAACAGAAGACCTCAAGTAGAGCACAGGACTCACACTGTGTAAAAAGGCAGAGATCAGAGCTGGGGGAGGCTAAGGCAGCTGGAATATGCAAGGCAGAGTACTGGAGAAGAGGGGACTATGCAGAATAAGAGCTCTAGAAATCTGCGTGGTGTTCGCTTGAGTCTGGCCAAAAACAAAGCCACATGTGTTATGGTGTCAAACTCCACAAGACAAGGTTAAAAAAAAAAAAAATCAAGGAAGTTGTAACGTGAACAATTCCAAGAGTTCACAGAGGGCTAGGGAAAATTTGAATTGCAATTAGCCTGAGTGGAAAGGTCTCACTGAACACCCAGGACATTCAGAAAGGATTCCAGAAGGATCACATCTTAGTAATAAGGCTAAACTAGCCCTTGAGTAAAGGCTACTCCAGACCTGACCTAACAAAGCTTACAAACAAAACTGATCCACGAGTAACTTAAGTACCTAGCAAAACAAATTTCAACAGTCTTTAAAGACAAACAAAATTCAGCACACAACAACGTAGCACTCACAATGTCCAGCATCCAATAAAAATTACTAGACTTGTGAAGAAGCAGGAGAATGTGACCCAAAACTAAGGGGAAAAAAAAAAATCAACAAAAACAGTCAAACAGGGACTTCCCTGGTGTCTTCCCAGTGGTTAAGACCCTGCAATTCCACTGCAGGGGGCGCAGGTTCGATCCCTGGGTAGGGAACTAGGATCCCGCATGCCACACAACCAAAAAAAAAAAAAAGTCAACCAGGGCTCCCCTGGTGGCACAGTGGTTGAGAGTCCACCTGCCTATGCAGGGGACACGGGTTCGTGCCCCGGTCTGGGAAGATCCCACATGCCGCGGAGCGGCTGGGCGCATGAGCCATGGCCGCTGAGCCTGCACGTCCGGAGCCTGTGTTCCGCAACGGAAGAGGCCACAACAGCGAGAGGCCCGCGTACCGCAAAAAAATAAAAAAAGTCAACCAAATCTGACATGACCCAGAAATGACAGAGACAATGGCATTAGCAGACAAGGAGTTTAAAATGGCTATTTTAAATATCTAAATAATTTAAAGGAAAGCACGAGCACAATGAAGAGAAAATGAGAGCTTTTCTTTTTTAAAGGCTAAATGATCTGGATCTGCCATTTTACATTTTGTTATTCACGCTGTAAAACTAGGGACTTGAAAAAAAACTATTAAATAATGAAGAAATGGTACCATGAATCATTATTAAAGTCATCTTCTACATTTAAAGAAAACATAACCACGACTTCCCTGACAGTCCAGTGGTTAAGACTCCATGCCTCCACTGCAGGGGGCACGGCTTCAATCCCTGCTCAGGGAACTAAGATCCCACATGCCACGAGGCACAGCCAAAAAAAAAAAAAAAAAAAAAGATTAAAAGCAAAAAATAAAGAAAACAAGATAAACTTTTCAAATAAAAAACCCTGGCAAATCAGCTTCCACAAAAAGAAAAACAATCTTGTTAACTTCAAAAAGTAAAAGAGCTGAAATATATTTGGGGCCCTATTAGATTTTAAAACTTAACAGTATAAAAGAAAAATATAACTCAATAATAAATGAAATTCTACTTTCAATTTCTGGTGTTAAATTAGCCCACACCTACACTTAATGTTAAGAAATCATTAACAAAAACAAAAAACAACAAAAAAAGAGAAATCATTAACAGTTACTTGATGAAGCACTACAGCATAATAGGTTATGAGAGCAAGCTCTGGAGCCAGACTGTTTGGATTTCAATTCCAATTTGGTCATTTCCTAGCAGTGCAACCCTGGGCAAGGCTTCTTACCTATTCCTCTGTCCTTTCATCTGTAAAGCGATGAAAACAACTCTTTCCAGCTCACAAGGGTTATTACGAGGATTAAGTTAAGTTAAAGACATATCAAGTTCTTAGAATAGAGCCTGGTACATGGTAAGCTCGCAATAAACGTTAGCTATTATTATTTAACCATGTGCAGAATCAGCACTTTGGCAGAAAGAGTTTATCCTATTTATAATGGTCTAAAAAAATCATACTAGGTACTGAGAATGCAGACATTAGTAACACATATTTCTTTTTTTTTTAATGTATTTATTTAATTTATTTATTTTTGGCTGCGTTGGGTCTTCAGTGCTGCACACAGGCTTTCTATAGTTGCGACGAGCGGGGGCTACTCTTCGTTGCGGTGCACGGGCTTCTCATTGCGGTGGCTTCTCTTGTTGCAGAGCACGGGCTCTAGGTGCACAGGCTTCGGCAGTTGTGGCACGCAGGCTCAGTAGTTGTGGCTCACGGGCTCTAGAGCACAGGCTCAGTAGTTGTGGTGCATGGGCTTAGTTGCTCCGAGGCATGTGGGATCTTCCCGGACCAGGGCTTGAACCCATGTCCCCTGCACTGGCAGGCAGATTCCTAACCACTGTGCCACCAGGGAAGTCCTAGTAACACATATTTCTAACTCTAGAAATTTTAAATCAAAGGAAGGGAACATTCATAATATAACAACTAACTGTACTTAACTGGCTAGAATAAGATGTAAATAGGGCCATAAAAACAATATGAACCAAGAGCCCAGAGGAATAAGAAATTACTTGAGTTTGATGTTAAGGGCATGCATCTTTCAAAGGTTAGTTATGACTTTCATTTTTTAATTGTTGTACCAACCCACTGTCTCCCCAATAAATGCCTGCCGCAACTTTCACCAGACAGTTTGGGTTTTGTTTTGTGTTTTGTTTTGTTTTTTTGTTTTTTTTTTGCGGTACGCGGGCCTCTCACTGTTGTGGCCTCTCCCGTTGCGGAGCACAGGCTCCGGATGCGCAGGCTCAGCGGCCATGGCTCACGGGCCTAGCCACTCCGCAGCATGGGGGATCTTCCCGGACCGGGGCACGAACCCGTGTCCCCTGCATCGGCAGGCGGACTCTCAACCGCTGCACCACCAAGGAAGCCCTGTTTTGTGTTTTCTAATATCATTGGCACGTGGTAGGCAGCCTAAGGCACCAGGCTAGAATTAGCTAGGTTGTGTTTTCTGACATTCTTAAATGACTTTTGGAAATTCAAACTTATAAACACAGAATAATCGATAGCCAAATTTATGTAAAAGCCCATAAAAAACTATAGTTCAAATTCAAGGTTAATTAATTAACTATACTCATAATAATAATCTGTCAGTTATCAAAGAAGTACTATTCCCTGGCAACTCACTAGTCAATTAGGAAGTTATTCTATGTCTCAGAAAACATCTTGGCTACCTATTCTCAAATAATTGTTGGGGTGGCGGCGGGGGGGGGGGGAGGTTAAGATTATTCTAAGGTCAATTTCTCTTTACAGACCTAAAAAAACCAGAAATCCCTCTGATGCCGCTATACA